CAAGACTACCCTATATCTAGCAATCTCCCGACAATTCACGAAGGTACAAGATACTTCCAGATAGCAAGGGGCGTGACACTAGTCACGTGACTTCGCTGACGCAACAGTATTCACATTTAATTTCACCAAAGGTAAAATTTAATATAATAATTAATATAAAATTAATAATTTTTTAATAGTTAATTAATATAATATAATTATAATATAGATGCTTAATACATAAATATTCTAAGTAGTTTTATGTTCACGGTGAAAATTCAATCAAGGAAGTTTTAAAAGCATGCACAACTTTTATTGATTTAAAACATACGAGACAATATACAGTATCAGTAACAGAAAGAAACATACGAGACAATATATAGTATCAGTAACAGAAACAAATATACGAGACAATATAGTTTCTGTAGCCTACAGTAACAGAAACAAATATGTCAGAGAATGTATAGTATCAGTAACAAAAACAAACATATGAGACAATATATAGTTTCTATAACCTTCAGTAACAGAGACAAATATACGAGACAATATATTATTTCTATAACCTACAGTAACAGAAACAAATATACGAGACAATGTACAATTTCTATAATCTACAGTAACAGAAAGAAATATACGAGACAATGTACAATTTCTATAATCTACAGTAACAGAAAGAAATATACGAGACAATATATAGTATCAATAACAGAAACAAACAAACGAGACAATATATAGTATCAATAACAAACAAACAAACGAGACAATATATAGTTTCAGTAACAGAAACAAACATACGAGACGATTTCTAGAAGGATCATGAATTTTCCTGGCAACTCTTGTTTGTTCCAGGCGCCCTCATTTTTAGTATATAAACCCAGCATATAATGCCAGCGAAAAAGATAGAATTGCAGAGATAGGCAGATGGATTGAAGATAGAGATAATTGAGTAAAGCGAACAGTAGGCACCGTAAGTAAAGTGTGTGAATCACTGTAATTTTTAGCGTGTTATAAAGGTTGTTAAGTTTAAAGTGGCTGTGGAAATTCTGTGTATCGAGAAAGAATAAACAAGTTTTAATTAAGAAAGGAGTTGTATCGCTGTCCTCGGGAAGAATTTATACCGGAAATTAACAAACGAGCAGATACGCAACAATATGTATGTATGTGTTTGTTGTCGACTTTAAATCTGTATGAAATTCCACCTAAGTTTTGAAACGTTTTGACAACATTTTCAATTTTTCAATAGTTTTTCAACCACAATATAACTGTTCAATCTAAAAATTTCACAAGTTTCATTTCAAAACGACTGGAGAATTCTGAACTACTATCTAGCTAAAAGACAGCAAGGAACTGGTCTACTCTAATTGTTAAAAAAAAAAAACTGGGTTAGAACGCACAAAAATTATTTACAACTGATAAAAATTTAAGAATTGAATATATGACACAACAAATGTTGTTGACGTTTCGGACCTAAATGCTTTTTCATGTTTTTGAGGTTAATGTCTTTTGAAGAAGGGTTTGGCCCGAAACGTTAACAATGTTACCGTCATTTGTTATGTCATCTATTAAATTCTTCCATCTTTGAAACTACTACAACTGTTAATCAGTATTATTAGGTTACTTTACCTTTTCATTAAAAGTTATAAAACTACATTTTTGAATGAATGTAAATACAAAACTCATTGAAAACCATGTATTATATAAAACTCATACAATTATAACTCTGAATGTTTAAAATGAAAAACATTCTTTAATTAAAATGCACAGTAAAAACTTTATTTATCCGACAACCAACATTAAGATTTTATTCAGTCTTTAAACTTTGGCCAAATAGTTTTTATTGTTTGTTTATAATGAACCACAAGCTACACAAATGGTTATCTGTGCTCTTCTCACCACGGGTATTTAAACCCGGTTTCTAGCGTTGTGACTCCACAGACCACTAGAGGGCAGTTTTTATTGTGCGTTTCTTTCTGTTACTGTAGGTTATAGAAACGAAAACAATCGGTGATTAGATGAACTTCTTGCAAATCCTGGTGAAGAAAGTGAAAACAGACATCTTCGTCAAACAAGTAAAACTGTGAGCGGCTGTATTTTGAAACTTAAGTCTTTGTACACTAAAGATCTAAAGTAAAATATATATATATATTTAAAGTATGTAGATTCCCCATTGTTTGCATTAAACGTAAGAAAATACGTTTTTCTTCGAGTTCCTGAGTTATAAATCGATGTGCAATAAATGGAAGTGAAACAGGATATCGTTTTACAAGATATTGCAATTCAACAACAAGGAAGATCTGAAAACAAATCAAGGACTTTGAAAGCGTGGAGACACACAAGGGCTTCACCAAACATACTTTCCCCCCGGATGTTGCCAATAAAAGCCGACAGGTGTCTTGGTACAGACAGACAAGAATCATACCAGGCCGTCATAGAAGACGCCTAGTGTTGAAGAATGGAACTGCTAATGTCGCTAATAAGCACGTGTCCAAAAGACGGCAGCGCTACCTTCAGGATCTCTTTATAACACTAGTTGATATTCAGTGGAGATGGAACCTACTAGTGTTTGCAATGGGCTTCATCATTACCTGGTTAGGATTTGGCATCATCTGGTGGTTGATTAACTTTTCCCATGGAGACCTTGAACACTTGAATGATGAAAACTGGGAACCCTGCGTTTACAACATTAAATCTTTTACATCAGCGTTCCTATTTTCTATCGAAACTCAACACACCATAGGGTATAATGTGTTAGCTCTGGATAATACAGGAACCAAGCAATATAAGGATGCCAGATTTACACGATGTGTTATTATCTCTGGATAATACAGGAACCAAACAATATAAGGATGCCAGATTTACATGATGTGTTAGCTCTGGATTATACAGGAAACAAACAATATAAGGATGTCAAATTTAAATATTGTGTTAGCTCTGGATAATACAGGATCCAAGCAATGTAAGTATGCCAGATATACATGATGTGTTATCATCTCTGGATAATACAGGGACCAAGCAAGGTAAGGATTCCAAATTTACATGATGTGTTAGCGCTGGGTAATACAAGAACCAAGCAATATAACGATGCGGGATTTAAATGATGTATTAGATTTGGATAATACAGGATCCAAGCAAAATAAGGATGCCAAATTTACACGATGTGTTATTATCTCTGGCTAATACAGGTACCAAACGATATAAGGATGCCAGATTTACAAGATGTGTTAGCTCTGGATAATACAGGAAACAAGCAATGCAAGGATGCCGAATTTACATAATGTGTTAGCTCTGGATAATACAGTAACCAAGCAATATGATGTGTTATTATCTCTGGATAATACAGGAACCAACCAATATAAGGATGTCAGATATACATGATGTGTTATTATCTCTGGATAATATAGGAACCATGCAATATAAGGTTGCCAGATATACATGATGTGTTAGCTCTTGATAATACAGGAACCAAGCAATATAGATATGCCAGATTTATATGATGTGTTAGCTCTAGATAATACAGGGTTAATTATTTGTTTTAGTTTTGAAGAAAGAAGAACTGTTACAACTCTTTTCGTCTGTCAACTGATACAATATAAATGTTTTAATTAACATCAAAGGATGTGACTAGACCATCACTATATTGTGAAACCCTTTGCTTTCTATCATGTATTTTGGTCTAGCAAATTAAATATGTTGAGCCCAAACAAAATCTTGTTTATATTAAAATAATTTTAAATGTTCCATACAAAAATAGTTTGAAAACGTTCTCCACATTCATTGATCCTGTCTTCTGTACATTCAGCTTCTGCAGTCTATTGGTCATTAGAAAATTCACATAATGTATAAAAAAATCGAAAAACGTACTTATTTACGTCTCACCAATTAACGTCTTCTTGATGTAACCTGAAAATATAAAATATCATTAATTCACATAATGTTCGCATTAACTGTCATATAATGTTTATGATAGAGAAACAATTTTGAAATCACTGATTGTACATCTTGGAGAAAGACGTTTTAAAAGAAGAGCAAAAAACAGCCTTATATCTTGAAGGCGACCTCCCGCGGACAAGAGGGGAAATATGTAATTTCTCCTTTAAAAAAATAAGGACTTAGTATGAAGAATTCTGGTTTATAATGAATCAAACCTTACATGACACTTTTAGGTAAGACAAAATTACTTACCTACTGATTTTTCAAACCAATTATACCGAGCAGGTGGACCTGTTGTCTTTGCGCACATAAGTCATTTTCTCCTGTTTTTTTTCCTCCAAGTTATAGTTTCCATGATCCAGGCTGTAGGATTTTTGAAACCCATAAAAGTGTTGAGCACTACAAAGGGGAATCTTGACTTCATAGGTGTTGTTGAATTTTCCAAAGTCAACTAGAAAGTCGCTAGTGTCTTTTCTGTAAGTGAGTAGTTGTTCGAACCGGTGACCCCAAAGAATCTCGTTGGACAGAAAGGAGGTTCTTGCTTGGAAGGACTGATCAGTCGACTCTGAAATTCCCTCCAAGATAGCCACTATTTCAAATTTGTCCTTCAAAAAATCATCAGCTGACATGGTGTATAGTGGACTATCTTGATTGATCTCATGGACCACCACAACTGGCCACGACAGAAGAATGCTGTTGTTAGCACTGTGGTGTTGCACCTCTAGAATATAGCGGTAGTACGGAATGATCTCCCCTTCTGCTGTGATCTTTCTTTTTATTAAATGCAAGCTTACTTGAGCACCAATCATAGTTGATTTTCGCATGTAACCAACGCGGAACATCAAACAAAGTTTGCTATCATGAAGGCAAATGATGGCATTTCGACTGAACATGATGGTCTGTTGGCGCTTTTTTGGTCGAGAGAACTTGGCAAAGATCATGCCTACAATAAAACATTGAATTATAACTCCAATGATAGACTGCAGGCAAAGAATAAAGACAGCTTCTGAACATTCTTCACTGATATATCGGAAACCCATGTACATCTGGCAACCTTATATTGCTTGGTTCCTGTATTATCCAGAGATAATAACACATCATGTATATCTGGCATCCTTATATTGGTTGGTTTTTGTATTATGAAGAGATAATAACACATCATGTATATCTGGCATCCTTATATTGCTTGGTTACTGTATTACCCAGAGCAAACATAATGTAAATCTGGCATCCTTATATTGCTTGGTTCCTGTATTATCCAGAGCTAACACA